ATATATAGGCCTATACTCTATATAATGGGATAATATAATATTTATAAATAGGCTCCTTATAGGAGCATGAGTATACTGCAGGAACTAGGCCAAATTACTCAAAACAGTCCATTATCGGACAAGATGCTATCAGCCATTGGTCATCTGTCAGAATGTCTACCTCAACATTCCATTTTACAGAGAAATTCTACTACCGCAGTATGCAGTACTCCAAATGGATGCCATATATTAAGTATCATCTACACAATCCTCAAACAGATGGTCATCTTCGCTGCAGTTGATATCACCCTCATGTGGTATTTGAATTTCATCTGCAGCTGCTAATACTGATTCGATGACTAAATCCTCCAGGGTTGGTGCTTCGATGTTTGCGAGGTCTTTTGCGATTTCTTCGATTTTATCGGCAGCTTTGTCTGGACAGTTGTTGCTCAAGTCGAGTGCAGATGAAACAATGGTGTGTATATTTACAGCTATGGCGGCTGCACTAACCGTTATCCCTGCGGCCCTAGAAACGATGCCAAGAGTCCGCTTTGTTGCTTTGCTTACGTCGTTTACAAGATGAATACCTACATTTCCAATAGCTTTTACAGCTAAAGTATACGAAATGAAACATAAATATGTCGTAGTGAGCAATTGTTGAAGCAAAAATATATTGAAACCTTTATGTGTGGACCCCACATACAATTTTTAGTTAAAAGGGAAAACCCATGCAGAGGGAAAATAACACAGGATTCCAATTGTCTATATATATATGTATATGTATATATATTTATTTATTTATTTATTTATATTTATATATTTTAATTATATTTATATATTTTATTTATATTTATTTATTTTATTTATACTTATATATTTTATTTATACTTATATATATATGTATATATACACGTATACATATATACGTATATATACATGTATATATACATAATATATATACGTATATATATATACGTATGTATGTACACGTATATATACGTATATATACGTATAATATACATGCGTATATATATATACACACACGCGTATGTATGTACACGCGTATATATGTACACGCGCGCGTGTATATGCACACACGCGCGTATTACATATATATATAATATACGTGTATATATATATAATACGTGTATACGTATATATATATATATATATACGTGTATATATATGTACGTATATATACACGTATATATATATATATATATATAGGGCCTATATACTTTTTAAGCCATGTATCATGCATAGGAACGTTGACGCCTGCAAGGCTCTGGTTTGCCTACCAGACTCATTACGTTCTGAGTGAAATAAAATTATGAAATTATAATATATAATATACAGTATATATATATATATATATATATATATATATATAATATATATAATTATATAATAATGATAATTCTGATAGAGTAATATAATACGATTATAGTAATACTTTTTATTGTGCTGTTTTTTTTTTCAATTGTCTTTCGCGATAGACGTTTGCCAATATATCACACAATACTACTACTTTTAAGACTTACCGTATTTTGAAGTCGATCCCAGAATTCTCGCCACAAGCTTACCGCCAAGAGTGATTACACTAAGGACACGCACTGTTTCACCATCTATAGGCTTAATCTCTAGAACAAACGTATAAATATCACGTGTAAACAATTTATGCATATATTTGTAAATATAAAAACCAAGAAGATCGAAATCTTAAACTGGTTAGTTGACCCTCATTGACGAAAAAATCGATGTAAGTTGACCTTCATTCACGAAAAAGATTTTGAAATCGAATTTAATTTAGGAACAAGAGATTCATTGCGATAATCAGCAAAACACATGCAAAAAGACGTCAGGATTGTATTTTCTATGGATTCTCTAAAATATTTTTCAATGAGTTCTCCGATCAACGTAGCTAAATAATTGTATGATTTTGTTCCCTCTGAATTCGATTTAATAGTAAGCTTAGAAACTTGTCTACGAAATCTACCGTAGATTTTCGTATAACAACAATTCCGTCAACTTCAGCACTATTCATGATGAACATTATATTAATCCACTCTAGGCTCACCTATTTAATTATTAAACTGTCCCCCCTCACAAACCTTGATGTCACACTGTGACTACTCTATTGAATTACGTTCATTGAATACCTGCTTGCATCAGCCAACTAACAAACCCGAGGCCTACATCTTCATCTTTACCACATGCAGCACTGTGTCTGAACACTACGGTAACAGCGATTATCAGTGCTTTCAACTTTCAAATATTAAAATTTCCCCTCCCCCCCCCCCCCCCCCCCCCCCCCCCCCCCCCCCCCCCCCCCCCCCCCCCCCCCCCACTCCTCCCAACATTTTGCTACGTGGTACAAGTAGGTGTAGAAAAAATGCAGTTATTTTTATGTACCACTTTCACATGTGTTCATGACTTCAGGATTTAAAATTGATTAAATAAAAGAAAACAAAATACTGTAAACGAATAATACCACCAGTAATTTTAAACTCGGACAAGAATCAACAACCTCGTATACAGTTTGGGTGTTGGACAGCATACAAATCCGACCAATACTAACTCGGACCAACATTTAGCTTTGACCAAAACCAAACCAAATCTAACTCGAACCAAAGATCTAACAAGAACCAAATTGGACCAGTTCCAATCCGAACTCGGCACGAGTAAATGACTAAACATTTTTGATGGTACACACATGGGTAAGAGTTGGGTTTTAATGATTTAACTTGAAATACCAAACGCAAGAGGTTATTAGGCCTAACGTAGTTAGGTATGTGGGACGATGGAGTTACACTGCATTGCAGCAACGTTAGAAACGTTATATACAGTGGCGTATCTAAGGGGGCGCACGCCCCGAATGAACTTGCGTCCCCTCAGTTCCCCCCCCCCCCACAAAAATGCTCAAGTAGTAGTAATCACCTCAAATCACCTTATTTTGCGAGCTACACCCCTCACCTAATTTTCGCGCCCCAATCAGCCGCCCCCATTTCAAAACTCCTAGATGGGCCACTGGTATACAGTTGTGATATTTTGCTACAAATACCTATTTATGGTTCTATAAAAACATTTTGTACAATACACCAAGCCGCAGTATAGCCCTTCTTTGTGTGTGACGTCCCTATTCAGGGGAGACCTTTATATGAGAAACTTATCCGTGACACTACTGCCAACCCCTATTAAGGGGACACTTCTATTAAGGGGATGGAACACTTTCCGAGGGTACGAAATGGTGATCAAATCAACACATTTTCAACCACTATTAATAAGGAGACACTATTTTTTTGTTGTATCGCTACAACTGCAATAGAATCAAAATAATGGTATCTGTTTGACATTTAAATTTTGTAAGTTTTTAGTCATAAGTTTGCCATAGATTTTTTTATTGATTCTTAAAATGTATATCAGATAGGTCCACTGTGTAGGCCTACAGTGTGTTACTAATCTTTGTCAATTTTGACACTTGCTATGAGATTTATTTGTTCTCTTTTTTATGTATATATATTTAAGGATTCAAATTCATACAAGTAACTCTATTCATGCTGCTGTATCTTTCTTTATAGGCCCTTTGTTACAATTTAGTTTAATTATGTTGTCACTCGTGCACGTCATTTAAAATAAAATTATAATCTATGCCATCTTTGTATTGATGTGCCAAAACCCCCTATTAAGGGGAATCACGTTTTCGGTTATCACCTAATAGATGTAGGCCTACTCACTCTTTAATTCTGGAGACACTCCGAAGTGGACACTTTTTGGTCCTGAAGGTTTCCCCTTAATAGTTCCTCCATATTGCCTGATAATGAATAATAATTGGCCTATTCGATTAATATAGGCTCAGTATATTAAAACCAAACAAATAAATACCTGTGCGAACGGCATTAACGATACTAATGGTCTTGCTGATATTATTTCCAACCCCTGAAAAAATACGGTAGATTAATAATATGATAATGTAATGATAATGATAATAATATTGAAAATAATAACAATACAATAACAATAAAGATAATAAAATTCTTGAACTTTGATTGACGATGACGGTTATATATAATGATGATGAGTCGCATGGATAAAATATGCCTTCTATGAAATAGCCTATATGGGGATTGGTGATCGGGCGTCTCTTGAATTTCTTGGGATCCAGGGGTGTAGCCCCAGAAATAATGATAATTTAGTGGTTTTGAATAGAATCTACTAATGTAAACAGTATATATAATTTTTTTCTTCTCCCCTACGAATTGTGTTTTCATCTCCGACGGGCTGGGGGTGAGGAGTACTGGCCCCTTTGCCCCGCCCCACTAGCTCCACCCCTGCATCAAGGCCCTATCTCTAAATTAGAATGTTAATATCAATCGACCTATTAGTTGGAAGAACGGAAATAATGTTGGGGTCTATGTATAAAAACGCACGACTATAAAAAAAAAAAAAAACGCACGACTAAAAAAAAAAAAAAAAAAAAGTACCGTAGGCCTGAAGAAATACTTACTTATCGCAATACTGATTACGCCCCCAATCTTTTTGAACTCTAAAACGACCTTATCATTCTTTTGTGTTAACTTCATATAATTTTTAAGGTTGTCTATGTATCGCTGCTGGACGTCTTTCAGAAATTGGAACCTTACATTGTCCTCTTCGATCAAAGTATTGGCCTCTTTGGATCCCCGACCAGATAAGACTTTAGCTGTAAAAGAAGCTCCAGCAGCTACCCCTCCACCGACAGCTGCAGCGCAAGCTCCAACTACTGAAACAACGAAAAGAGTTGTAGCAACACCCAGAGTGACAAAACTAAGAATCCCTGTGGTTATGCACATAACCGCACCGGCGGTCGATGTTGAAGCACCGATTATCCTGGCAATATGCGTATTTCTTTTGTTTTTTCTTATCTTGTCAGTGATTTCGTGTAGCTGGTTTATTAATTTTTCCCGAGTGTTATGCCACTTAGTGAGAGCTTTTTCTATTTCATTTATATCGATAGAATTCTGTTTTAAACTGTTTAAAAATTTTAATGCGTCACTGTCCCTTTGTTCTTTGTCCACTTGAAGTATTTTTGAAATCACAGGTAACGCTGGAACAACAGTGTTGGTAGTTTCAAATTCCATTCTGTAAAATTAATGGAAAGGCTAACTTTGTAACAGGTCATAACTTTTGTGAGAGAATACATCGGCAGATCAACGAATCCTGAAAATGTTTTGCCAAGTTTCTACAGTTCAGGCTGTCAACATTAGTTATGTAGGATTCAAAAGACGGTTAATGTATACTTATTTTGATCATTGCTGAATATGCAAATGATTGTCAAATATTAATACCGTATTACCCTATAATACTATTCGTAGGCCTACCAGCCCTGTTATACATAGCCATTATTATTTTTTGTTATTATAATTATTATCTATTATTTCATTGTCATTATTATCATGATTATAAAGCAGTTGTATAATCTATAATTGTAATTTTAAATAATTTTCAGTAATTTACATATTTATAGTAATTATAGCAATATTAATTATAATCATTGCAATAATAATAATAATAATAATAATAATAATAATAATCTTTTTATATCTTGTGATTTTATTGTATTATATTGTTAATGTTTATTGCAATTTTCGCCTGTAAGTGGGAACGAAGAGTTCCTGTTGGACGATTGTTATATTTAAAAAAAAAAGGGGAAAAAAGGCACGGTTATTCATTTTTCGTCGCAATTAAGTCAATTCTTTTTTATTTAAAACATTTTTTTCCAGATTATATGTTATATGTATTTTTTCTTTTGAGTTCTGCACATTGCCATTAAAGGCCCTATTTTTGTTTTTATATATTCAAATTAGGTTTGCTACGCTACGTAGCACCGTAAACACAATATAAAAAATGGATAAATGATAATAACAGTGCTTATTATATGAACAAGATTTTATAATCATATCAAGCATAACAGGCCCTTCAACGAAAAGTTCCTTTAATTCAGTTGTATGAAAAAAAGTGTTTCTTGCGGGATTCGATCTTGTAACTTCCTGCTGTCAGGGGGAGTGCAGTGCCGCATATCCATTAGAC